AGCGCGAGTGGCGCCTGCGGCTAACTCCCGCGGGCGGTAGAGACGCGGCGGAGAGAACCTCGGAGGAGGGGCGGCGGGGCAGGTGCGAGAGATTGGGGGGCGGCCAGCAGCCGCGGCGAGCGCGCGCTGAGTGCGGGGCAGCCAGGCGGGAACCGGAAGGGGGCCGCCGGGCCAGATGGCCAGCGAGGGCCGAGCGCCAGTATGCGACGCAGCACGGGGCTGCAAAAGCGTGCCGCAAGGGCTCTAGCAGTAACCGGTGTCCACTTGGAAGGGCCCAATCCCCAAGCCGCCTACAGCTCGCCGGGGGGGCGGCAATCGTCCACGGGGAGACAGGCCGCAAAGTGGCGCCCCGGGAGGGGCTCCAAGGCCTGGGACGGGCCGTCAGCTCCAGCTGGGCACGTCCAAGGTGGCATTAGCGCACGCGGGATGGCGCGCGGGGGGGGCCGACCAGCCCCGCGTCCAGGAGGGGCGGGGCTCCGAGGGGCACCCTGTGGTACAGTGGGGGGCACCCGCGAGCGCCGTTGTGTGCGACTGCCTGGGCGGCCGTGGCGAGACTTGGGAGCGCGTGCGCCCAGGGCTGGCGCGAGCTCGCTGCCCTCCTGGGTTCCACCGATATTGTCCAACGGGCGTCGCTGTCGTTGCGCGGCTTTTTGCCATTGGCCTTACCAGGGGCGCCCGCGGTCCTAGCTCCGTCGTTGAACCGAGCGCGGGCTGCGCCAGTTGACCCCGAGGTGGGGCGCAGCGTCCATCTTGAAGACGTCGCGCTCGCGGCTGAGCTATTCCTCGAAGAAGCGCGTGCAGGACTCGGGCTGCCGGCGCGCAGGGTCGGCGCAGGGGCGGCCCGACGGCGGGGGATTCTTAGTCGTCCATTGATGACATGCGCCATTGAAGTAATCAAAGTCTTGCGAGTCGACTCGGGCACTCCTGTAGGATGGCCAGGGGCCTGACCGGGGAGTGGGGAGGTCGTCGGGAATGGGGGTCGCGCGCGCGTGGGCCGGCCCCAGCGGCCGTTGGCCCCCAAGCTGGACCACCCTGTCCATTCTGCCCAATGGCCCCCGCAAGGGCTGCTGCGACTGGTCTCGCGGTGGCGACGCGGGCGCCGCTCGCGCCGTCCGTCGTTCCAGTCAAACTCCTCCCGCGCCGCGCGGGCAGCCTGGGGTCGCCGGGGGCTGCAAAGGGAACGCGGGGCACCTCGCTCCGGCAGGCGCGCGAGATCCCCGTCGTCTTGCCCGGCGAGCGCGAGGGAGGCGCGCGGGCCATCGACGGGGGAGGCGGGGCTGCAAGACTTGTCGGCAGTCTCGGGGCTGCCTGGGGAGTGAACCTGCAGGGCCGGCGGTTCGGAGCTCGGGGTCGGAGATAAGGCCGCGGGCGCCCCTTGATGCCCCCGTTGCGAAGAGGGTAGGCCGCCAGGGGGGCCACCCGCAGAGGTCTCCGAGCCCTCGCCCCCGCGGCCGGCAGCGTCGCCGTCTCTCGCGGCGGAAGGGGGGCTACCTAATTGGGTTGGCCGCTTGATAAGGGGGAGCGTCAGTGGCGGGGCTCGCACGCCGCGGGCGGGCGCCGTCAGGGGGGCGAGAGCTGGCCCAGCGTTTGTAAGGTGGGCCGGTGCCGCTTTGCACTGACGACGCAGGGGGGGCACCACCTCGTTGCCCCAGTCGGGGGTTTCAGGCGCGCGGGGGGCAAAAGGGTGGAATTCCGCCGGAAGGTCGGCCGCCTCAGAGTGCTGTTCGCCGAGCCATGCCCACCAATCATTGTCGCTGTGCTCCCTGATGGGGGTGGCGCCGATCTGCCTGCACAGCCCCTGCGTGACTCTGAAGGGGGCGTCCTTGGCAAGCTCTGGGAATGATCCGGAGGCAAGCTTGTCTGAACTGACCTGCCCCGGGAAACCAACGGGGGCCTCCGGGGCGCGGCGTAGGGGGGAAGGACCTCGTAGGGGCCATTGACCTGAGTGCTCGAGCCAGTTGGGCAGCATGGAGGGGTCCGTCGAGTGAACACAGAACCACGCGGGCGGCGGCTAGCCGCTTGCCTTGCCAGTGGAAGTCGCTGGCGAGGTAGGCAGGCGCCACCAAGTTGCCGTGAACAACAACAAAAAAAAGAAAGGCGCAGCACGGGGCGGGGGGCTTCGGGGCCCACCGCGACCCTGCGACGCTCTGCGGTAAAATCTCACCACTGGTCGTCCAAGAGCGGGCCCAAGTCGCGCGGGAACTCGACCAGCCTGACCTCGATGGGCCTGGCGCCCAGGCGGTTCCCCTCCGACTCCTCGGCGGCCTCCTTAAGTGGTCGATGTCGATGCTTTTCAAAACTGGCCCTTCGGGGGGATCAGCGTCGGGTAGGAGACTGAGCACTTCCTCAGCCCCGCGCGTTGTGGGGGAGCGTCCGTACTGGTCAGGGGCGATCAAGCCAGGGGCACCTCCGTTCGTGCTGAACGGGACAGGCTTGGTAGCGGAGGCGCGATTGGGCACGAGATCTCTGGATAGCGACGGCTCGTCGGGGACTGGCGGAGCTGCGCGCGGCTTGGGGGCGCGGGGGTGGAGGCGGGCCAGGCGAGAGCCCTGGTCGAGCAGCCCGTTGACTGCACCGGGCATGGCGTCCCATGCGTGACGAGGCATCGGCGGCGCATCCATGTGGCGCACCAGCTGCGGTTGGTCCGGGCGACGGCGCGGCCCCCCCATGCCGGAAGGCCACCCGCGCTTGCTTGCTATACGTCTATGTCAGCCTTCCATGCAAAACAGCCGAGCGCAGGCGCGCCTGCCTGCCGGGAGAGCGGGGGGGGCGCTGGGCGGGCACCCGTCGCACGTGGCCGCGTAGCGCTTCGATTCTGCTGCCGCGTGCCCGAACCTGTCGCCCTCCAGCCGCGTGGGCGGCAAGGCAGCGCTGACATTCTCAGGGACGCGGAGGCCTACTGGCCCAAACAGGAAATCGCCAAGGCTGCCCGCGGTCGTTGCGGGGGGAAGCGCCGAGAGCGCGTGCCCGGAGGCGGCGGGGGGTAGTGTGTCCACGGCAGGGGGCCCGGGGGGGTCCTGTAGCTTGTCTGGGAAAGAGTGGTCCGGGGATAGCTGGCGGCCTTCCTTCTCGGCCACGTGTGTCCAGCACTGAACGCGTAGCCGCGTGCAGTTCAACCCGTCGGCGTGCGCCTGCAGGTGGTTTAGTGCGAAGTACGAGCGGATATAGTCGTCGAGCCATGTGCCCTCGTTATGCTTGAGGTTAGTTTTGTAGCAATAGTCACACTTGTACCTGGCCGACTTCCGGTTTGCGCGGCAGCGAGTGTCGCCGGGGGCCAGGTAGCCGGGGGCCTCGGCCGCGTTGGGGGGCGGGCCGGCGGCGGCGCTCTGTCCAGGGGGGCAAGCCCGAGCGAGCATCCCCCGCTGAGGAAGGATATATCTGAGGGGCCGTCGTCGGGCCCCAGGCCGTCGTCGTTGCCGAGGACCCGGCGAAGAAGACAGATGCTGCACCCTGTCTGTGAGGGGATGCTGACGTTGGCCGGCTTCGCAATCTCCTCCAGGACCAGCATAAGGGGGCTTTGAGCTTCGGGGGGAAGCTCTCCATCTCCGCGTAGGTGGCGGGGTAATGGGCAGCCCTCGCGGCGGGGCGATGGCGGGCTGAGGTCACCAACTTGCCCACCAAACCAATCAGCCTCTCCAGTCTTCCGTGGAGTTGGCGGAGGTCAGGAAGCTTGAGCCCCTGGGAAGTCGCGAACGGAAACCGAAAGAGGTGGCGGTCGCTCTGCCACGGGCAGCATGCACCCAGGATGGCTTCCAGCGTGCCCCCAAACCCGGAAGGGTCAAGGAAGGGCCAAAGGTGGGCCTGGGGTTCGCGCCTCATGAGCAGCAGGATGATGAGGGCGCACCGGGCCCTCTCGGTGGACAACGCGGTTGTTGGGGTCAAGCATCTCGACGCAGTGTTTCGTGGCTCCGTCGTGGCCCTGCAGGAGGCTGGCGAGCGTTTCGAAGACTGGGTAAACCAGGTGGCGTGGGAAGGCCCTTGTCCCTTGGGACCATGCACCGGGGGCCTGGCGCTGGAGGTCGGGGGGGGGGGGGGGGGGGGGCGGCTGTTCTTGTTCTGGGGTCGCCGAGCAGCACGGCCTCGGGCCTGCGGTCTCGGGGGCAGCTCTTTGCCCGAAATCCGGCGCGAGGGTTCGTCCCGGGAGGTGCCGAGGCCGACGGGCCAGACCAGGGCGGCCCAGGTCATGTTGTTAACCAGGTTGCCTGCGCCCGGCCCTAGCTCCGCGTCGAACAAGTATCCCAGGTGGCTCCAGGCGTTCCCGTCGAACTGCGCAGCGTTGGATGGGGGCGCCCTCGATGTTGCACTCGTGGGGGCTCAGTCCCGCCACCGGAAAGGGGGCGACGGAGAAGGCGGGGTCGGTGAGGAGATCCTCGAGCGCCACTTCCAACCGAAGTCCGAGGCCCCCCTGGCGCTGTTCAGCCACCGGGGCGAGGTCGCACTGCACGTTGAAGCTCGATCTCTGCGTGCTCGCCCCTTCTCCTGGCCACCTCCTGGCTGGCCCTAATTGATTCCGCCCTCGTTTGCCTCGTTGGCGGCGAGGGTGTCGAGGCCCTCCGGCCCCCGGGAGGCAAGGTCGCGGACGGGGTCGAAGTCGACGTCGGTGAGCAACTCGATGCGCTTGCCAGCGCCGTGGCCGGGGAGGTTGCGAAACCTTGCCCGGCGGCCTGCGAGGCGACCGCAGTTGGAGAGTAGACGTAGCTTGGAGACGGCCATAGAGGGCATCGCGCGGCCGTCGGCGATGACCACAATACCCCGCCTGGCGCGCGCAAGCCCCGCGTTGACCCTGTTGGGACTGTCCACGAAACCCCGCGCGCGGCGGGAGTTGGACCGCGCAGTGAGGAAGATGACCAGGTCTGGTTCGCCACCCTGGCTGGCGTCGACTGTGGGTAGGGCGAGCCGCCCCGAGGCAAGGTGCTGGGGGGCGACCTGGCGGATGCCGGGGAACGCCAGATTCAGGCCATCGGCGCAAGTGGGCCAGAGGCTGAAGGCAGCCCCCTGACCTTCAGGGATGTAGTCAGGATCCTGGGGGTTGGGCACCGCGTCGGCGCGCGCGGAGGTCGGGGCCGAGGCAGCGGGGGGGCGGCTCCGTTGAGGGGCGGCGGAGAGGGGGGCGCCGGCGCCGTCGCGGCGGCGGCGGCCGGAAACGCCAGGCGATGCGTCACGCCGAGGGGGGAGGGGGGCGAGGTGCGAGCGGGGGTCGGGGCCGGGAGCGTCGGAGCATTTGTCGCCCCTCATCGCAATCTGCAGGGCTCGGGGGGCGAGCGGCCAGCCGTCCTCGAGGATTCCCTTCTGCAGCCTGCGCGGGGCAATGACCTTGACGGTGGGCCCCTTTTCCATCTCTGATAGCGCCGCCCGCGCGAGATCAACGGTGATGGCGGCCCCAGGGACGTCGGCGCACCCCTCGGCGAGGTGCGACGTCGGCTCGCAAGATCTATTGCCCACCAATAAAATGCGGTGGGCGTCTTCCGTCGTGCTTGGCACGTGAGAACGAAGCCCGTCGCAGTCCTCCCTCGGGCCTTCGACTCTGATCCCGGGTACTTCGGGAAAAGATTCACACCGCACAGGGTCGAGACCAGCTACTTGGGGCCAGGGTAGGCGCGGCGCCAGTGGGCGGTCTGCGAGGGGGTTGGTGAGTCCACTGAGCAGTTCACGATTGTAGTATGCCTTGGAAAGGAAGAACATGAGGCACGGGCGCATGCGTTAGATGAAGGCCCCGGTGATGCATGCGCTCCCTTGATCTCCCATTTGATACCCGAGTGAATCATGTAGACGCTGGAAGATGGACAGAGAAAGGCCCATGTCGGCAGCCCTGTTGGACAGGAAGGTGGGGGGAAGCTACTGAGGGTCGCCTGCAACCGCGAGGTGGCCCCCGCTGCGAATCACATGCGCCATGGACATAGCCGCGGTCACCTCGCTTGCTTGCCCGGCTTCGTCGATGATCCCCGGTGGGATGCAAAATGATACCTTGCCGTCGAGCTCGGCGGCCGCTTCGTGCGTCGCGAAGATTGCCCCTGCTCGCTGCGCCAGGTCCTTCTTGAAATGTCGCGCGCTGTGTCGTCGCCGCGCTCGGGGGGTAGGTGTTGCAGGCGCGGCAGCGGTGTCCTTCAGGGGCGAGGTGGACCAGGTCGCGATCGACTTCCCCCCTCCGGGCGAGACGCACGAGGCCGCGGGGGAGAGCGAGTGTCGCCCATTCGGGGGCCACTGTCCTCGGCCGAGGCGAGGGCTAAGAGAGCTTGATCCGCTGCGGCGCTGGGGCCAGAGAAGACGCCGACGGCTTGGCTGGTGCGCAGGGCGGTGGCCCACACTGCGACCAAAGTCACGACGGTGCTTGTTCTCCCACAACCAGGAGGGCCGCGCACCAGGGCGACGTAGCGGTCGTTGTACGAGTGGAGGACCTGCTCGGAGAGTTCGTTGAAAGAGAGGGCCGCGGCAGTGCGGTTGAGTTGGGGGGGGCGGTCGGCGCTGACCTGGGCCGCTGAAAGACCAGCCCAACACTCTCGTCGATGTCGTTCATGTTGTTTGCTGGGAAACCTTCTGCGCCTGGGCGGGCGGTGTCGGAGGCGCCGGGGTCGTGGATGGCCGCGCCCAGGGTGGGCGCAGCGCGGCGGCGGAGAGCTGTGCCAGTGTTGTGGCCGAGGTGCACCTTGTTGGCCATCCGCTTGTCTGCGACACTGGCGTTTTTTAGCCCCGGGGAAACCATGGAGACGGGGGCGGGGACGCCGCGCAGGTCCTGTGCCTCGTACCCCTTCCTGCGCATCTATTCAACGGCTTCGTGAAGTTTCCAGTGCTGCAGTTCGGATGGAGCCTTGTCCAGTTTGTAGATCGGCCAGGATGCCTTGCCGATGGGCGGAATTGTCATCCGATCAGGGTGGAAAGGGGCCGGACCTCTCGCGGTTGTACTTGACGAAGCATGTGCTGGGTGGGCACCTGGCGTCCTTACTGGGCCCTGCGCGCCTGCATTCTGCATCGGGGAATGTGTTTCCGAGCTCCTGTAGTCCAGTCCGAACCACCTCAATCACGGCGATATCGTCGGTCGAAGGGCCCTTGATGGAGATGATCCGTCGGTGGTCCTGTGCTTGATCAGGTAGTTGCGGCCCCAGTCGAGTCGCAAGTAGGCCCATTTGTCACAGGGCTTGATCTTGTCAGAGAATTTAAGCCGACCGCAGTCACCCAAGCGCGTAGTTTTTGCCAACTCTGCGATCGACGCACCTAGGGCGGCTGTTTGCTGTCGGCGTAGCTCGTTGCGCGTCCGTTCGGTCCCGTCATCGCACGGCTCGAGTTGGGCTCTGCTCTCGATCCACATGATACGCTGAAACCGCGAGCCACGGTCTTTCCGCACATGGGGCCAGTCGAAGGGGGGTTGGACGGCATCTGGCACGTGACATACGGGGACCCTGACAAGCATCCTCGCCCCGGGGTGCGTCGTGGGGCTTTTGCGCGCCTGCTAGGGGGGCACGGTCCACGTCAAGTAACTAATGCGATGCGTGCCACCCTCGCGCGTCGGCCGCGCGCGCACGTCGGACTTCTTCCAACACCTGCACCACCGACGCGAGGACGCCGCCATCGTAATCGGCGTGATCAGCATCGGCGCCGCCACTGGCCGTGCGGTCGCCAATGACATCATCGTCGCCAGCGCCGCTACTATCATCGTCGTGATACCGCGCACGCCCAACTCGACGAGTCGCAGTGGAATGCCCGCCTGGATGTGCCCAACGGTCAACGCCACCGCGGCCGCGTCGGTCGCGCAAAACTAGCTGGCCGCTGCGCGCGCGAACTCGCGCCGGCCAGCGCGGCCGCAGAGATGCACCAGCCAACACCAAACACGCATCGCAATCGCCGCCGCATGGGTTTTGCGAGGGTGGATGGGATGCTTGCGCGACCAGTGGGGTTGACAACTCACCGCGAACAGCAAGTAATTGCACCACATAGCTTGCACCACATAGTTCACACCGCGTGGCCCGCACCATAGCTTACACCGCACGGTTGCACCGCAAGGTTTGAACACCCAGAGCGTACGTAAGCGGTTACAATTTGGGGTCCACGTTGGCTAACTTCAGCGTTGCCCGCATTCCTATGAATATACCATCCTACTGATGCTTACGACTGCCCTCCTTGTCCTTACCATGACGTGCCATTGTGCATCCTCCTCCTCCTCCTTCTCCTCCTCCTCCTCCTCCACCTCCTCCGAATATCTCACGAAGCTTCGTCTCTAGCAGGGGATGTAATGACCAAAAGTGCACCCGAACATCCTCCGACTGTGACCGAAGCTGCGGCCGGGAATTGTTCGACACCGCCCGAGTGTGGCCGAAATGCTTGGCTCGAGGCTGATACGATTCCAATTTTTCGGTCGCACTACGCTTCGGGTTTCCAATGTCGGACAAATGTTTGCTAACACCTATTTCTTTGTCACACACACCGTTTTGGCTGATAACGGCCGTGCGCTAGAAAACCTCTTCTGGGTCAGCCCGCGCGGCTGCGGTTGTCTCGCACGCGTGGTTCGGGCGGCCGCTGAACCCGCGGGGCCGTCCTCATCGCCGTCGTCGTCGTCGTCGTAGCCACCGCCGCCGCCATCGCCGTCGTCGTCGACGTCGTCGTCGACGCCGTCGTTGTCTTCGTCGTCGTTCATGTTTTCGTTGTCATCGCCGTTGCTGTCGTCTTGATCATCGTCGTCTTCCTTGCCTTCGTAGTCTTCGTTGCTGTCGTGAGCGAAGCCGGAGCCAACGCCCCCCCCTGCGCGGCTGAGGTGCCCAGAAGACCATCCTGGGTGGCGGAGCCTTTTGGGGGACGGGCGGCGCGCCGCGCCCTCTGGGGGGCTCTGTGCGGCCCGCCCTGTCTGAAGAACTTCGGCAGTGGTCACTCGTCCGTCACCACGTCGCGCGCATCCACCTCCTCCCCCCCCCCCGCCCCCGCCCCTATCCTTATTTCCCATGATGAAACACTCCCACATCCCCACGCAGCCGGCCGATAGCAACCCCGCCGTCAAAAAAAAAAAAAAAAAAAAAAAAAACTCAACCTTTTTCTTGCCAGCATGTCGTCGAGTTGCGAAAAGTCAAGCAGGAATGGGACGGAATTAACATCGCTTGGGTCACCGGAAGCGGGTGGTCGCGTCCTACCCATCAGAGAACACCAATACAAAGTGCCAATGTTTTGCTCGTCGATGTGAACTGTCTTGTCGTCGACGCTGCGAAACATGTAGCAGGAATGTGACGCGGCGCGCATCGCGCGCGGACGCCTGGCCAAACCTACGCGGGACCCTTCGTCCTACTTGTCAAAAAACACCGCAACGTCGACGTTTTTCTTGCCAACATGTACTTTCTCCTCGTCGGCGCTGCGAATCGCGCAGCGAGAATGGGACGCCCCGCGAATTCCCAAGAGGCATTAGCTTCTTCTTCCTCCTCCGTTTCTCCCTCCCTCCCTCTCTCCCTCCCCTCCTCCTCCTCCTCCTCCTCCTCCTCGTCCATGCGCGGCAGGAGCGAAACGATTGGCGGCACAACACGCGTGACTGGAATGAGACGCGGCACACTTCGCGCGCGGGACAAATTGTCGCCGACGATGCAACATGAGAGGCCGGAGCGGGGCGCGGCGTACATCGCGCGCGGTCGGTCTTGTTTCTCGTCGGCGTTGCTCAATTCGCGGCAGGAATAGGACGCAGCTCGTGTCGCGCGCTGAACGTCTAGCCGCCCACGATATAAGATGATCGACAGGCGTCGGACGCGACGCACTTGCTTCTCATGCTGCGGGAGGGCGGGTGGGAGTGGACGGACCCCTCTGGCTCGTTCGCGCCTTCCCCTCCCACGCCTCCTCCTCCGCCTCCTCCTCCTCCATCCCCCTTCCTTATAAATCAAAATGACAGGGCCGAATGGTCTTACACTGTCCCCGGGTGCGTGACTGAAGTGAGTTCCCGAGGTGCGGGCCCTCGTTCCCTTTTTGTTGTTTTGTTTGTTGTCGTCGTCCCGCCCGCGACCCACCGGGCGACCCAGCCGCCACGCACTCCGCGACCCACCCGCGACCCACCCCGCGACCCACCCTGCGACCCACACGCGACCCACCCGCGACCCACCCCGAGACCCACCCGCGAATCACCCGCGACCAACCCACGACCCACCCGCGACCCGCCCGCAACTCACCCGCGATCCACAAGGCGCCCGCCCCCTCACTCTTATCCGCAATTGCAGGGTGCTACATACTTCCGGGACGGGTCGCGCCCCGAGACGGGTCGGTCGGGCGGGCCGAGCGTTTCGCTTGAGACTTCCCCACCATTCAGAACCCTGAGACTTGAAATTTGCAACAGTTTGACGGATGGAGGGCGGATCGTTTTCCAAGTGGGCCTCTCGCCTCAGCGCCGCGCACATTCGTTTCAAAAGTTTGTAAGAGTTTCACGGGTGGAGGGCGGATGGTTTTCAACATGTGACTCTCGCATTGGCGCCGCGCACATTTGTTTTACACGTTTGCCAGTATTTCACGGATGGAGGGCGGGTCGTTTTCAAAATGTGGCTCTCGCCTTGGCGCCACGCACATTGGTTAGATGTTCACGGATGGAGGGCGGTTCCTTTTCAAACTGTGGTTCTCGCTTTAGCGCCGCGCCCTTTCATCTTAACAGCTTACAAGAGTTTCGAGGATTCTTGTGGCTGACATCCCAGAGATCATGTCCTGGCACGATCTAGGGTTGTCAGGTCGCGACACTCACGTTGATTCGTGGTGCTAACGTCCCAGAAGTGGCTTTCTGGCACGATTTAGGATCGTCAGGTCGCAACAGTCACGTTGATTCGCGGCGTTGCAATTCCAAGAATAGTGCTTTTGGACGGTTGAAGATTTTAAGACCGTTGTTGCAACTGGGCTCTTCCCGCAATGGAAATGCATGAGTATAGGAGCCCATGAAAAGGGAGCTTGGAGGGAGGCTGTATTGCAACATCGTCGATGCATCTTGGGTTCGCACTGGTTCGCCTTCTCCTTCTCCTTCTCTTCCTCCTTCTCATCCCAATCGCTGTTTGAAGTTTCAGACGGGCCGCCCGACTGTACCTCATGCACAAACGTACACCAATGAGTTTGCGCCCCCGTCCCTGAGCCTCGAAGGGGCAAGGGTTGTTGGGAGGCCCCCCATGGCGTCCGTTGTGTCGACAGGAAACCAGTGGTAGACATGCAGATATGTTATTAAAACCCACTGGATCCAGGCAGCTACGAGCGCATCGAGGACAGCAATTGCGAACTGACATCCTGGGACGTGGTGCTCCTCAGTGGTAGGTGTAGGTGGGCAGGGCCAGAGGCTGTTCAGAAGATGCAACTTCTCCACCACGTCGTCTTCCAATTCGAGGCAAGGAAGGGGAAGTGGGTCAACAGAAGCTGTGGGACCAGCATCCTCCTCAGTCGACGCTTGGACGGACGGCTTCTGCGGGAAATCTACCAACCCCCAACACATGTCTAAAGCGAATGTGCGGGTATCCAACCTGCTAACGAGTAATACGACTACGCGTTATTTGTTTGCTACTAAGCCCACGTGTCGGTCCGCTACCACGCCGACCTAGCGGAGGCCTTCGGCGGATGTTTGAAAGATAGGCTAGACACCTTAGGCTGTCGTACCACTCCAGTGGTAGGAGGCGATATCAACAATGACTGTGGCTGTCATCGGGATCACGACAGCACAACTGTCCGCGCCAAGAGGCCCGTGGTTGGGGGATCGAAAGCAAAGCTAGAGAACCTCAACTGGGCTAGGTTTCGGAAACTGTGTGGTGCTAGCGGACTCGCCATCGCTACCATCCACTGTGACGTAAGACCCACAGGCCACACCAACCGTGTGGATCATGCGGCGCTTCCGACAGCGGCACCGGGACTAGTCCAACACTGTTGTTCTCTGTTCCTGGCAAGCAAACGACTCTGGAAGAGAAAAGCCAGGGGCTTCAGAGACAACTTACCGTTGGGGTTGGCCTGCAGGCCACGGTCACTTCCCGCTTCTCATCCTCCACCCCCTGGCCACAACAGTTGATCTGCAGAGACAGCCTGATGGAGTGTCTCATCAAGGCCATCGGCGCGAGGCGCTGCTGATGACCTCGGACCCAGAGATGAAGGCGGTGGGGAGGCAAGCATGGGCAGGGGCATAGCAGCGGCGACGACGGACGAGACGTGA